TTTTGGGACGTGACCTAAAGATAACGACGAGTTAATAATATTGAGAAGCGGTTCTTCTGCTACAGGTAACAACTCTTTTAATAATTTAGTGGGTACAGGATCTAATAGGCATGTTGTTGGTTTAGATGCAGTGATAAGTTTATTTAGCTCTTCCTGTCCTATAGCTGTAAAGCACTGCAGTTTATCTTTTGGTGCGATGAATGAAGCTGAAGTATTATACGCTGTAGAATCTACATTTTTTATTGTATTTCTGATGTTATCTATTTTATCAGTGAAGAAATTCATAAAGTCATTACTATTAAACTGTGCGGGAATATTTAGATCGGGTGGCGTCTGGTTATTTGTTAATCTAGCCACTGTGCTAAATAAAAACCTTGGATTGTTTTGGTTATTTTCTATGAGTTTGTGGATATGCTCGGCCCTGGCAGCTTTTAGAGCCTGTCTATAGCTGGACATACTGTTTTTCCACGCAATTCTAAAAACTTCCAAGTTAGTTTTTCTCCATTTGCGCTCAAGACTACGAGTTTTTTTCTTGAGAGAATGGGTATTACTGTTGTACCATGGCGCAGTACGTTTTTCTCTAACCTTTTTCAATTTGATGGGGGCAACAGCTTCTAATGTATTAGAGAAGATAGTGCCCATGTTGCTAGTTATTTCGTCTAGTTCATGTGTACTTATTGGTACACAGAGCAGTTGAGATAAATCAGGCAGGTTATTTGTGAATCTGTCTTTGGTGGCTGGAACAATAGTTCTGCCCGGACGATAACGCGGAGCCATATAGTTAATATTAGTAATACGCAGCATGCACGATACAAGGAAATGGTCAGTAACATCATCGCTTTGAGGTACGATATCTATATCAGTAAGATCAATTCCATGCGATATAATTAAATCTAGCGTATGATTAAAACGATGAGTGGGCCCGGTGACATTTTGCTTTACTCCAAAAGAGTTTATTAGGTCAGTAAACGCAAGTCCTAATGCATCATTTGTATTATCAACGTGAATATTAAAATCTCCGACAATTAGCGCTTTATCAACAGTAACCAATAGGTCTGAGAGGAAATCTGCTAATTCTTTTAGGAAATCTGTATACGGCCCTGGTGGTCTATACACAGTAGCCAGAGCAAGAGCTACGATAGATTTCTTTTGCATATCTGACAGTGTAACATTAAGCATTAGTATTTCGAATGAGTTAAACCTGTATCCTGTCTTCTGAGTAACATTGAGAATATCACTATATATTGTTGCAACACCGCCGCCACGACCAGTCTGACGGGGCTCATGCTTATAATAGTAGCTTGGTGGAGTAGACTCATTTAGACCAATATAATCATTAGGTTTTAGCCAGGTTTCAGTCAAGCAGAGTACATCAAAACGATTATCTGTGATCATTTCATTTACAATAACTGCTTTGGGTGAGAGTGATCTAATGTTTAGGAGCCCAAACTTTAAAAATGGTTTTTGTTCATTTATTTTAAATTGTTCTGGTTTAATCACGATCAGATTTTTTCTAGATACACACAAACAAAAAAAAGCCACGAGAATGAGCAAATAATGAGTCAGCTATTGCTGTAATTTGATTTGTATGTGTGTTTCTGTGTATGCAGACCGGAGGAGCGTTCAGGGGAGGATGTGGACATTATCTTGTCCCATCTGAAAAGTGTGAAGGCCTTTGAGAAGTTCCACCCTGCACTACTTCAGCAGATCTGTCTGTGTGGCTTATACGAGTGTCTGGAGAAAAGCATCACATGTCAGTCAAACACACACACACACACACACACATGCACTAACGCTCACACACATAGGCCTACATATGATGTGAAAACATTGTTTGTTGACAGTATTACTTCACACAAGGTTGCATCGTGACTGGGTCTAGTGTAATGATATGATTTTTTCAGTAGGGCACTAGCTTCTCTCTGTTTGTGTGGATTAGTGTACAGGCAGGGTGACATTGGCACTAACTGGTACACCGTCCTGTCCGGTTCCCTAGATGTCAAAGTCTCAGAAACTGCAAACCATCAGGTACGTTGTCATGTCAGTTCTGTTTTTAAATGATAGTGAACAGAGCTATCAGATCTATCAAAGAAATGATAATATTAACATTTTAGGCTTTTCATTTATGTGCATCATTTAACTTCATATGTTTCAGAATCCTCAATATCACCACATAACAAATGAATAACTTGATTCATGAATTAATAATTGATAATAATCTAAACAACTACAATAAGTATATCCAGATTTATTCTCATGCATACAGTACTCTCACTTAGTATTTACTATATTTGACCCTGGACCACAAAACCAGTCATAAGGGTCTGGAATCCGGAGATCTGCGGCGGAGCCGGAGCGACTTAGGACCAAGGTGGAGCTGGCGGGAGGAAAGAGCCTAACGGAGCCAGTGGGACGGAGCGACGAAGTGCAGCCAGAGGAGCAGAGTCCTGAGGCGATGGCGGGTCGACGCCCTACCAAGGCGGAGCCGGAGGGACGAGGGTGCCCAGTGGAGCTGGTGGACTGATGGGTGACGGTGGAGGTGAGGGAGCTAGGTGCCGAGGTAGAGCCGTTGTGTCTACGGGCCGAGGTGGAGTCCGGGCCTCGGAGGCTGGAGGCAGAGGTGAGGGATGCTCCAGCCATGATGACGATGGAGAATGGCAGACCCGCGGCGCTTGTACCGTATTGATGGTGGGCTGAGGGCAAGCAGAAGGGCTGTCAGACGACAGCAGCCCCAACCAGCCAACTCTCATGGCTGGACTTGGGGACTGAGTCACTCTCATGGCTGGACTGGGAAACGGGAGCCCACTCTGGGCTGGACATGGGAACAGGAGACGAAGGAGGACTGGACGGGACCAGCGGGGACGAAGGAGAGAGGAGAGGGGTCCAGTCGTTCTCCAGATCTGTTTCCCAGTCAATAACGTCCAGCAGTCCCAGATGCACAATAAGCTCACCCTCAGCTGCGGTGCAGTGGGCGGAGTGGGCACCGTCCACGGCTTGCGCCCTCGTGGTGGGCACTGTCGCCGGCTCTCGCACCTGGTCTGACGGGTGGGGCTTCACATCAGGGGCGATCCTCCACTCAGTCGCTCGGCTCATTGATCGCGGCGGTAATGGGCTCTCTGTCATCGGTGGGCTTGGGCTGATGCTCTGCACCGTGGGGAGATGGTGGGCAGGGCACTGGGTCTGGAGTGGAACTTGCTATAATCCTCAGGCGAGACAGTGAGAGGCAATCCTTTTCTCACCAGAATCCACTTCACAAATATGGCGAAATCCTCTCGAGGACCATCTTCGGACGACGGCACTCTGCTCGCGGTGTTCAAACATGCATTATAGAATGAGCAGATTGCGTCATCCAGGTAGCTGGTGGTGTTAGCTAACAGCCGGAACAGTCTCGTATGGTCCTCGAGAGATCTCTCCCCCTGCTCCAGCTGGAGGAGGAGATATTCCGGGCGAAAGAGGGCATCCATGAAGGAAAATGGGAAACAAAAACGGAGAGTGGACACACGGAGGTAACGGTTTGGGTCGGGTCTTCTGTCACGTTTCGCTGTGGGAGGAACGATGGAGACACGGAGAAACATTCAACAGTCTTTAATACTTGAATCACAGGGGGAAAAACCACAACAGGAACACGGGAAACACACGACATCCAACAAGTAGACCCGACAAAGAACTAAGGAACAGACAGGAACTAATATACACAGGGCAATCAGGGGAACACAGGTGCATGGAATCATAAAGCAATCAAACTAAACAAGAGCAGGAAAAAGACCAAATAAGGAAACACAGGAAGAACTACGGGGGCAAAACGGGTCCAAAAGTATGACAGGAACATTATCTTTACTTAATATCCTAATGATTTTTGGCATAAAAGAAAAATCAATAATTTTAAACCCATGCCATGTATTGCTGGCTATCGCTACAAATAAACCTGTGCTACTTATGACTGGTTTTGTGCGCCAGCGTCACGTATCGAAAATCTTAACTGCTTGATTGTTTATCGTTGCAATCGTATATTGTTGCAAAATGAAAACTATATTATCAAACAGCTCTTTATGTAAAGTTGGATATATAAGTATGTTCAACTTCATCTGCTTATGTACGGTACACCAATGTAAAGCAATATGTACCATATAGCAAATCTGAAACTGCTTGATCGCATGTTTTGCATGCATTGTAAAATGTAAGCTGTATTTATTATCACATAGCTCTAATCTGCTAAATGTGACTATAATGCATGAAGATATTAAAATATTATAAATATTAGCAACATGATTTTTTTGTAAAGCTGCTTTGAAACAGTGTATTGCTGTATAAATCTTGCTATTTAAAGCACTATATAAATAAATTTGACTTGATAATAGAGCATACACATACTCACACATTCACTATAGTTCATCAAGGACAGTTATGTAAATCATCATTTACATAACTGTTATTACATCACATTAACAGGTCTCCTTAGACGTACAATATATCACCTACAAGGAGTTATATTTAGGTACAAGACAATTATGAGAGAAGATGGAGCACTCAAAAGCTTTCAGTTTCAAATGTTGTGTCAGCTAAATTCTGTTCAGTTTGCTGAATGTCCCTCATTTGTCTCTCTGTTCTTTAGCAATTGCTTTTTGTTCTCTGTGCTTGTGTTGTGAGCAACAAAAAAAAAAACTTTACTGGAATAATTTTTTAGTTGCTAGGTAGAATCTGAACTGGAACTAGACTTACGATTCCCATCCCAAGTGAAAACGAAATATGATCTTATATTCAGCTGCTCACAGTGGACGTTTTTTATTGAGTGCAGGTGCTTATTATAGACCGCAGCAGAAAACTAGAGCAACTCCTAACAGATCTGCGTCTTACATTACAAACCTTAGGGACAAATGAGCTGACCTCTCTCTTTCTCTGTGTGTGTTGTCCTTGAGAAAGGCCTGAATCTAAGTGGAAGTGCATCAGTCTCTAAGTCAGAAACATCTCAGATGGCTTATATATGACTCCTCTCTTCTCATCTCTTCCTCTCTGAAAGAGTTGACTCTGACCTGTGTTTCTCTTCATGTTAAGGATGCTGTCACCATCTGTACGTTGGGCATCGGCACAGCTTTCGGGGAGTCTATTCTGGACAACACGCCGCGGCATGCCACCATTGTCACCCGAGAGTTCAGTGAACTGCTGCGGATTGAGCAGAAGGACTTTAGGAGCCTGTGGGAGGTATGACAGATTACTGAGAGGATAGCAGCGACACCTATATGAACAACCATGATTGAAGTTGTATGTAGCTGTTTTGTTTAATTTATTGTGTAAATTAGGCAAGTGGAAACTTGAATATCGGTAAAATAAATGATAAAAATAATACTTTTAAAAGAGTGCTTATTATGGAAGTAATACACTTTAATAAAATAATAAACTTACAGTAAGTGCTTATATTATATTAAAGTGCATAATCTTATATTAAATGCTATTAGCTCAACTTTACAGTATTTTTGGACCCACCTACGTAGGACTTAAATAGATCTTTTTCATGTATTTGTCAAATATATTTGTAATTACACATTTGTAATGATTAAGTTGCAATATAATACATATACAAATATATATATAAAGAAAAACCTGAAAAATCTTTTTTCTTTTAAATGAGCATTTTTGTCAGGCTCCTATGTTTAGGTTTCAGTAATTTCACTTTAATGGCAAAGAAAAGGCTATTAGTCATTTATTGAATGCTTTATTTTCAAAATGTCCAATGTTATTTTCATAGGAGCCTGATAAAAATGCTCATTTAAAAGAGAAAAATCTCAGGTGGACATATATATGAATGTATATATTAACCTTAAATGTAATATCAAATAACACACTACAGTTAAAACTATAATCAAGTTTTAGCATGTTAGTCAATACATCAAAATAAGCGCACTTCCTTGAAACATGACAAAAGATTATTGAAACAATTATTTAAGACATACTTTAAAGTAATACAGTATTACAAAGTGCACTTTTTAAAAAGTGTACTTAAGTGTGTTAAGAAACAAATGTACTTTCCTTAAGTACACTTAAGTGGCCTTTTATTTCATTCATATTATATTGTCTGCAAGTGCAATTTTTAAAACTTTGACATTTTGAAGTACAAGTTCACTTTCAAAATAATTTGGCACTTCTTTTTTCCACACAAGGGCAGCCATATAAAAACAATAATGAATTGAATTTAATTTGAATTGACAGGCCCAACCTATTTTACATTTGTAATGTGATTTTTGAGTGACTCTCATATTGAAGGGGAAAAAATGTAGAATGAGACTTGATTTTATCAATCTGGAATTAGATCCATGAAAGTGGATGTTACAGAAAGTAAGAAAATAGGATGGTATTGTGATGTCAGACATTTCACTTCATACAAAACTGTACGCTGTGTCAACGAGCCCCTGAATCCACACTGGTCCACCCTTAATTCCCAGACTGCCACAATTTATGCAAAAAACTAAAAAGTTAAAAATGTATTTACGTCTGTAGCCAGCAGGAGGCAGCGAGGGAATAAGAAATGTTCTGTGGTCATCCTCTAGTTCAGTGGTTCTTAAATAGGGAGCCAGAAGTCAGGAGCCACTAGGAGACCTAAGCACACTTCCAAGGGGGCTAAAGATGGATTAAAACACTCTTAAAATAAGCTAAAATAGCTAAGCATGAAGATGTCTTATCCCATCCTCACAAGACATTGGAAAAGACCATAGGCCATAAAGAACCTTAAGAACCCTTGGTTCTTAAAACTTCTGTAGTTACGGAATGTAACTGTTTAAATGTACTTAAAATTAATTTACTTAGTTCTTTTATTATACTGCCACTCCTCGTTTCTGTAAGTAGGCAGCTTTATCATTACAGCAGCTCCAAAAATATTTGAGTCTACATGGCTTTGAATGATGAATGTCTTTAAAGGTCTTGAATAATGGATGGCCTTGCAGTCAAAACGGTTGAGAAACACTGCTTTAGAGTGACACTATAAATGTATGTTTTCTGTATCGTTTATGTAGAGAGTCGGGGGATTTTAGGCATGTTGTGCTCACTTCCCAGCACTCAGGAATTTTCGATCACTTATTCTTCAAAAACGCAACAGATGAAGAAGCTTTTTTTGTCCTTTTCAATCTTTGGCAGAAAAGACAGCAGTGCTTCTGCTCTTCAGGGCTGTGAGTTTATTTCTATCTTAGTCTTTCATTCTCTCGTTTTGTTCTTTCTGGCCCGTGGGCAATCAGAAATTCTGGGCCTGATGGAAAGCTTTTACTGGAGCAGGTCAGAGAAGGACAAAGCAGCCTGGAGCTAAACCAGAATGAGAGGAAGACAGGGAAAACAGGAGAAAGAAACAAAAATAGAGGAAAGGAAGCAGAAGGCTGAGGAAAGATATCAAGACACAGAGTTCCCCTGAGAGGGACTGTCCTTCTGCTGAGTGTGTGTGTGTGTGTGTGTGTGTGTGTGTGTGTGAGTGTGTGAGTGTGTGAGTGTGTGAGTATGTGTGAGTGTGTGAGTATGTGTGAGTGTGTGTGTGTGTGTGTGTGTGTGTGTGTGTGTGTGTGTGTGTGTGTGTGTGTGTGTGTGTGTGTGTGTGTGTGTGAGAAGCCCACTGGGAAACTGAGAGGACCAGCAGAAGTTCTCTGCTGTATCTGCTATAACTCTAAGGTGATGTCTTAACTCATGATTTCTGTTTCTGGCTGGCTGCAGTTATAATCTATTTATAGTATTTTTTTTCTCTGACTGTTATAAAGATATATAAGTATTTATGGCTGTTTTGATGTGGTGATTTGTGCTTATAAGAGAATCAGTGCTGAACAAGTTAGTGTAGTGTTAAGCTTGTGTGCGTTTTTTAATTTGAAAGACACAATAGACAGGTTCTATAAACATGCCACTGGTCAGTCTGTGTTTCATTACATTTGTTTTTATTGTGTTGGAAACTAATCTGCTCTGTATTGAGATTTTACAGTAGTGCGCGTTTAAAAACAAAATTTCTGAATTTAACAATCAAATGTGGTAGTGTTGTTTGAATAGTTTTTTGAGTACAGTAGATACACTCGCACAATGGCACACACTCGTCTAACTGAGTTAAAAGTGCAGGTTATTGTTAGCTGGATCTTCACTGGCTGTCAGTCATGTTGTGCTGTGCTGATGTGTTAATGATGATTTGATTGAATACATGTCTGTGTGCAAAGCTCCTGAACAGATCAGTGAGGTTCAGTGCTGTCTGACTGCCTCGGTCTGTTGGAGTGAAGCATCATGGTGTTGTGTGATATAGAGAGGTCACTGCAGCTCAAACATCAGATTCCTCTAGTTATTATACCGTTATCCTAATGACATGATTATAAAAACATACAAACACTTAGTTTAAGGCCTAAAATACACTTGTAAAGAGTGATAAGTATATTAAGTAAACTAAAAAACTGTACTTGTAGATAATAGAATATTAAAGAAATAAAAGGCCACGTAAGTCTAATTACTAATGTTTAAATACATAACATACAAGTTTCAGTAACACTTTAGTGCACTTTAGTGCAAAAAACTGGTTGCTTATTAGCATGCATATTATTAACATATTGGCTGTTTATTAGGGCTTATAAAGCACATGTTCTGCATGACCATATTCTACATCCCTAATCCTGCTAAATACCTAAACTTAACAACTACCTTACTAACTATTAATAAGCAGCAAATTAGGAGATTATTGAGGCAGAAGTTGTAGTTAATGGTTTGTTAAAAGCGAAAGTAAAGTGTGACCCAGGTTTCAATAGAAATTACATTAAAATATATTTTAGTGCTGGTCAGTGCATTCAGCAGTACACTTAAACCATATTTCAAAGACAATAGAATTATGATATTATTACATATAGAGCCTACTTAAGTCCTACGTAACTAGGTCAAAAAACACGTTGAAGTTTAATGGCATTTAATATAAATTTAAACTATAACAATTTTCATGTAAACGCAATTTAGATGCAATTAAGTATCTGAAATCATTCATTTCGCACTCATTTTTAAGTATATTATTTAATAAGCATGCAATTTTATTAAATATGCTAAAGTGTACTTCTTTTTCACAAGGGTAACATAAGCTTACCAGCATAGTTTATACTGTTGCTCATCATTAAAGTTGCTGAATACTAGATGTGTATGTGTTGATATGTAAATGTTTGTGGTCATATACACTCATTTTTAAGTATATTATTTAATAAGCATGCAATTTTATTAAATATGCTAAAGTATACTTCTTTTTCACAAGGGTAACATAAGCTTACCAGCATAGTTTATACTGTTGCTCATCATTAAAGTTGCTGAATACTAGATGTGTATGTGTTGATATGTAAATGTTTGTGGTCATATAATAAGCCTATGGTGGTGATTAGATGAGTTTGGTTTTCTTAAATGATCTGGGTGGACTGTGCTGGAAAAGGGATTTTAATTGCGAATGATGGAGTGTGTCTAGACTATACATAAAACTCACATTACAAAATAACAGGAGAAATCCCTTTGTCCATGATTTGATCACTTTAAGATTCAGTTTAGAGTCTGTTTAAAGTCCACGTGAGCCAGATGCTGCCGACTTCAGTATTGTGATGCATTTCCAACTGAAATGGAACACTGAATAGAGGATGGGGGTTTATTTTAGCACAGCTCCTCTCCATCTCTCTCTAACGGCTGGAGGGCTGAGGTTAAGGATATTCTGTTCAGTCCATCAAACTGACGTCATCTGAGAAGGAATGGCATTCCAGAGCGGAAGCAAATTTACAGATTATTTAAGCACCAATTTTGTTTTCTGTGGATTAACTTGCAAGGATTAATTGTTCACCTCAATACTAGCAATGTGCGTTAACAAAATAGATAGTGCCAGTTTTGATTTTTGATTTGCAGACTGTTTTACAGTTGTGTAGAGTCAGCTTACTTTAACAAAAATAGCAAATGACTGCTCGAATGCTTTCTGACTCCTTTCCGTTTACAGTTATAGATCTTATTCACATGTCTGCTGGGAAAGAGAGGTGTGTTTGTGTATGGGGTTGTGTGTGTTTGTAGTGTAATGCTTGGTCACTGGGTGGGTTGCACAGAGAGCTGACTAACAGGAAACCAGAGAGACATTGAGTGTCTGTCTGTCTGTGTGTGTGTGTGTGTTTAGGGGGATTTTGGGATGGGCAGGATGACCATGTCCCCATCCCACCCACACAAGCTTACACCCATCTATTATAACCACA